TTCGACGCAATTTCGACGCTATATTAGCGTCGGCAAAATTCCGACGCTAAATTTCGACGCTAAATTACAGTTTTCTTGTAGTGTATCGACGATTTTACAACGGACAACTCTACCGTCTTGATTCACACCAAACAATTTTACCTTGCCCCACGCTGAAGATCTCCTACAATCTTATCTCCGTTAATCAGCTTTATCTCCATTTTATCTTGACATAAAAGTTGTTTACTATGATTCAACTATGTACTAGCTCGTCTCCTAATGAATCATTAGGACCTAGGGGGTGAAAAATCATTAGTTTGGTCTTATTCTATAATTCTTCTGTTTAGGCTAAATAACTGAAATCATTAATCCCCCATTGAAAATTTGAATGTTTTCAAGATCACAAGTTCTAATACCAGCAACGGATATTTCTTGATTACCCAAAAATAAATGTCATAAAATCTTAAACCACTACACTTGCCACAACATAAAACCTCAAAATTGCACAACCTAAAAAACTAAAACCAATATTGAAATGAAACACATGATAAAAGCCTAAATTAACTACAAATTAGCCGTCAAATAATTAAATTCTCTAACGGCCAAGTCTTATTACACCCTAAAAATAGAAGAGTAGACTTAGCTAACCAAATAGACTAGTTCAGATTAAGCACCAAAAACAGAGAAAATCACTCCTTTTAACCATTCTTCTACTACTTCCTCACTTCTTCTGCATAAATACCAAACCACTGAAGCCATTGAGCTTTAGCTTTTTACACTACATGGCAAAGAGAACACACAAGATGGGTCTCAATGCCTCCTTTTCTCTCTTCTCTCTTACCGTCTTACTCGTCTTCTCCACCATTGTCAAGGCCGATAACATCACACGAGTGTTTGAGAAATACTCCAATTTCAGCACCATGAGCTACCTCTTGACCAAGACCAAGCTTTCTGTACCCATCAGCAAATACCAAACCATAACCGTGCTCGCTGTTGCTAGCGACGCCATCAGCTCCATCACTAACAAATCCGACGTTGAGCTCAAGAACATCCTCATGACTCATGTTATTCTTGACTACTACGATGAGCTCAAGCTTAACGGGATGAAGGAGAAGAGCATAATGCTCACTACCTTGTACCAAACAACCGGTTTAGGTGAAGAGATGAATGGATTCCTCAACTGTACTAAATCGAAAGGAAGAGTTTACTTTGGATCAGGAGTGAAGAACTCACCTTTAACCGCTGAGTATGTCAAGACGGTGTATCACAATCCATATAACCTCTCTATAATCCAAATTAGCATGCCCATTGTAGCTCCTGGACTCAGCTTAGCAGTTTTC